ACAGTCAGCTCTGGAAGGATCGCTTTTTTCCTTTTTTTTTTTTCTTCTTCTCTTTTTGAGGCGAGTGGTTGAAGCAAATGAAGCATAAGAGCCCCCTGGTGGATGAAGAAAAAAATCCACGTATAAGCCGCACCGGACTATAAGCCGCATGGTTCAAAGTTCAGGAAAAAAGTCGCGGCTTATAGTCCGAAAAATACGGTATATATTATGCTGTGTTATGCAATGAGTTTATGGATATTTATGAGCTCAAATAGCAGCATTAGCACAGGGTTCCCGCAGATCCTTAAAAAGTCTTAAAAGTCGTTGAATTCTACAATCCAAAAATAAGGCCTTAATATGCCTTAAAATGTCTTAAACCAATATTTCAGAGGTCTTAAAAATGTTAACACATTGTAAGTAGGATGATTGTATTTGTCTCAAACATTTAAATAATTGGTAACATTTATTTATTTGTTTATCTATTTATTTAAACAATTTACTAAATTTACAGCAGCTAGTTGTTTTGTGTTAAAATAAGCTTTTGGGTAAAATTGTTTGTTTTTTTCTCCCCATTTGTGTTTATTGTGAAGTTGGTCTTAAAAAGTATTAAAAAGTCTTAGATTTAACTTGCCTTAAGCTGTAGGAACCCTGTAGCTGTGTAGCAGCTAGCTGTTTCAGTTTTGGTTCAGGCAGAAACACTTGTGGTAGAAATATTGTAGTATTTCTGTTGGAATGATTATGTAATGTAAAACTGACAAAGGTGTTTAGGTTTTTAAAATAAATGTTCGAATAAATCACTGTGATATTGAAAGAAAATATGGAGTGTTTGTTTTCCGTAATACGTGTTCTTAACCAGATAGAAAATACACAAATGTTTGAATGTGAAAAGGGTTATACAACCACATCAATGCTGGGCTGGGATACAAGTTTAATGCTTGTCTCTGCGTGCATTCAGCCAAGCATTTCAGGAAGGAACGTCATTATATCAACTTCTTCAAGACCTGACTCCGCCTATTTTCATTGCATCATCAAAAATGGCCAGCCTTCGGCTGAAATCAGGTCCTCATACAATTTTCCTGTTCTAGTGTTAAAACAATGTTTCAATTAAGTGTTGAAAGTGTGTTCAGGCATGTATCTTACCTTTAAGTACCTCCGGTTCTGTTTAACCATCTTTGATAGCCACTCAGACCAGTCTGTACATAAAATCATCAATCTAATCACAAAAATAATCACTGAATAAAGATCATTATTCACCTGAGAAAAGACTACAGAATGTGTGGTGTTTTTAAAAATTAGTAGTAAACAAACCCCAATAAATTTCTTCAACATTATAAAGATTAGAGTTGATTTTATGGTGGTTCTGTTCCTTTTTTTTTCTTGACCCAGCTCAGCCCAGTACTTACACTATATTGCCAAAAGTATTTGCTCACCTACCTTGACTCACATATGAGCTTCAGGTACATCCCAGTCCTGATCCATAGGGTTCAATAATACGTTGGTCCAGAACAGCTTCAACTCTTCTGAAGGCTGTCCACAAGGTTTAGGAGTGTTTATGRGGATTTTTGACCATTYTTCCAGAAGCACATTTGTGAGGTCACATACTGATGTTGGACAGAAGGTCTGGCTCTCAGTCTCCTCTCTAATTCATCCTAAAGGTGTTCTGTTGGGTTGAGGTCAGGACTCTGTGCAGGTCAGTCAAGTTCATCTACACCAGACTCTGACATCCATGTTTTTATGGTGCTTGCTTCGTGCACTGGTTCACAGTCTAATTGGAAGAGGAAGGGACCAGTTCCAAACTGTTTCCACAAAGTTTGGAGCATGGAATTGTCCAAAATGTCTTGGTATGCTGAGGAATTCATAGTTCCTTTCAGTGGAACTAAGGGGCCAAGCCCTGCCCCTGAAAAACAACCTCATGCTACATTTATACCAAATGTGTTTTGAGCATCTGGTTTACATGCAAAGTCAATGGTGGATGTGCATCTAGGGGCGTCTAGAAGCCGAGCAGCGCGTCTGGCACCATTGGAGCGGCGCATTTCGAAGCATTTCACACGTCTTGAGTGTTTTCCGTGCGTGCGGCACATCCAAAGTGTCCGACGCACAAGTTGGAAAAATCTGAACTTTTGATGCTCGATGCGTTGCATCAACCAATCAGAGAGACTCTGCTCAGTGACGTACTGGTGACGAGCCGTAAATACTGGAAGCCCGGGAAATCGGATCACACAAACAATGGAGGAAAAACTGATAGTCTGATCATTTATCATTCCAGTGTCCGGTATCGTGATAGAAATAAAAAGGACTTTACCTGGAGGACGATTAGTGAGGAAGTCGGCATGTTTGGTAAGTTATCAAAACTACGGTTAACAAGGCTCCTCCTATTGGGTGTCTTAAAAAGCGCTTCTACGTTCACATCAAATGCGTCTGACCTCACTGAACACCAGCATCAAGATGTGTGCGTTTTGAGATTTTTGGAGGCGTGCAATGCGTTTGGTGTAAACGTAGCATCACACCATGGACCCCCACCACCACCACCACCAAATTTTACACTTGGCACAATGCAGTCAGACAAGTATCATTGTCCTGGCAGCCACCAAACCCAGACTCATCCATCACATTGCCAGATAAAGAAGCATGATTCGTCACTCCAGAGATTGTGACGCCACTGCTGTAGAGTCCACTGGTGGCATGCTTTACACCACTGCAGCCGACGCTTTGCATTGCACTTGGTGATGTTTGCTTGGATGCAGCTGCTCGACCATGGAAACCCATTCCATGAAGCTCTCTGTGCACTGTTCTTGAGCTAATCTTAAAAGGTCTGTAGTGATTGACTCTACAGAAGGTCGGTGACCTCTTTGCACTATGCGCTTCAGCATCCGCTGACCCTGCTACATCAGTTTGTGGCCTACCACTTCGTGGCTGAGTTGCTGTCGTTACATTTTCTTATAATACAGTTGACAGTTAACTGTAGAATATTAAGGAAATTTCACGACTGGATTTTTTGCACAGGTGGCATCCTATCACAGTTCCACGCTGAGAGCGACCCATTGTTTCACAAATGTTTGTAAAAACAGTCTGCCTGCCTAGGTGCTTAATTTTATGCACCTGTGACCATGAAAGTGGTTGGAACACCTGATTCCGATCATTTGTATGGGTGAGCAAATACTTTTGGCAATATGGTATACTTCACTCATTGATCCAGACAATTAAACTCTCCAACTGAAGTTGTTTAGATAGCTTTTTTAGTACAGGTAGGAAATTAAGTAACTTTTCCACAGAACGCTTACAACAAAATGTCTGAATTATTTCTTTAATTTTGTGTTAGGAGGAGAGACTAGTCTTACAACAAAGACAATTAGGCAGTTTATTCAGCCATCACATATGCCATTAATGGCGCAACTTTGTTTACAGCACTATGATTTCCCAAGGTTGCCACAGTCTTGAACTGTCAGTGTTTTTCTCCATATCTGTGTATGAGCTGGACTTGTTGACAGAGATAGTGGCTCTGCTCATACATTCCCGCAGGGAAAAGGCTTTGCCCCCTGCTGAGACGTCCCTCTTCCTCAAAGGTAGAAACTGCTGCTGATCAACAGCAATACAAGAAAAGAAGTACTGTAAAATGTGAAGCAGAGTTTTAAAAACACACTCAGTCAATTTATTTTCATTTAAAATGAACAATATAAGCCTGACTAAAACAGTATGATAGAATGTCACCAGTGTGAAGCTGTGCTGAAATTGTCAAGAGATTTAACAAGAAATCAAAACAGAACAACTTAGGTTGTCAATTTGTCACAAAAATCTTTAATCTGATTGGCTAYGTAGACATAAATCAACTTAAAAACCTTCTTGCTGCAAACATTTGGAATAAAATTAACTGATTGGACATGAACCCTGTACTTCATTCAGTACATCTTCAAGTTTTTTTAAATGATCATGTCTTGTGTTGTCCAGGTTTGCGGTCATCGCTTCTCCTCTCTGCCTTGTTCATGCTGCTCGGAGCGACTCTCCGAAGCATCCCAGTGACAGACCAGCACATCAGACGATGGTAAGACTCCTGTAAACATTACAGACGTTTCAGAGGTGAGGCGGAAAAATGAGGTTGGAAGGGATGTGAAACTGAGGCAGAGCACGAGTCAGCAGCCACATTTATGTAGTTTGCAGCTTGATTATTTAGACAAAGTTTTTTTTCTCTTGTAATTTCTGCCTGCCCTTATCTGATTTAGAACAAGATAAATCAGTTTAGTAAAAAAGAGCAGCTTGCCAAAACTAGAAGCTCCCTTTGTTTGATAAGTTTGCAGTGATGTCAGATGCTGTTGGTACAGTTAGTTGATTTTATAACTTATTTAATAGGAGTGTAAGTCATGATAACTAATCGTGTTTCCATCCAGTTGTAGAGTGAATTTTTATCGAACTTTTCAAAATTTGCAAAAAATTTAATAAATAAAAATTCTAATCTAGACTGTTTCCATCTAGTTTCCTTCTCTACTATTTGATGCGAATAAACGAGGCTACACAACACGTGATTACGTCAGATGAGGCTACGCAACGCGTGATTACGTCAGACGAGGCTACGCAACGCTTGATTACGTCAGACGAGGCTACGCAACGCGTGATTACGTCAGACGAGGCTACGCAACGCTTGATTACGTCAGACAAGGCTGCGCAACGCGTGATTACGTCAGACGAGGCTACGCAACGCGTGATTACATCAGACATCGGCGACAAGCTTTGCGGTAGTAAACAGGAAGTGAAACTTGCTAACTAGCAGAGGCTAATCATCTCGGGACAATGGAGCGATTGCGTCAAGAATTTTACTCATGTTAACCTCAGACAATTAACATAAACCCAAAATGGAGAGAATGTTCTTACATAAAGTACACAAATGTCTGTCTTAACAGAGATAAAGTAAAGTAAATGTTAAACAAATAAATTYTAATGATGGGGGTGTAGTTTCCTATTATCAGGATCTTTGTTTGTTTCTGTTCATAAGTTATCTGATTTTGGCAACAAGACATAAAACAGCATTGTTTCAGTTAAAAACAAAAGTAACATTTCTTGCATGACAAAGTGTTAAAGTGGTCACACCATGTGTTTGTGCTTAGGAGTTCATAATGTGGATGACTCACCATGCCAGTAATATTGACAGAGTTGGAGACATTTGTGTTTGCTAAGGTTGATTAACAGTGGCAAACATTATTAATAGGGTTGACTCTACAAGGTAATTGGTTGATGTGCATCCAATGATTACTTCCCAAAAGGTTATTAAAATCTGTCCAGTAAAAGTCACCTCGATAGTGGAATTCTATCTGTGACTGATTTGATACAATATGAAGTGACTTTACCAACACTTCAGTGCAGGAGAGATGCTGTTGACTTCAACCAGTGAGAAGGGATTCTCATAGTCGAACAGCCGGGTACTTTTGTCACATGACCATGTTGTAGACAGAGGCTGACATACAGTATTGGTTTAGGAGAAAATAGGATGAGTTCCTCTATGTGGAAAATAGGAAAAATGGTGAAAAGTTGCTGTAGGACTACACTTCTCGTGTAAAAAAAACATTCAGAGATAAAAAATTTTTCAAACTGCAAGAGTGAGGGGAGAGAAATGACACGTGTTGTCGTTCTGTCTCTGCAGACCTCCATGCTTCTTCTTGTTTAAAAAGAATTGCCTCATTGTTTTGATTTAAAACACACTAAAACTGGCTAAAATGAAGAGTAAACACTCAAAACTACACACTAACTAAATCCAAACATTTTAAAGTCACAGATCTAATTAATAAAGTCCTGCTCTCACCGGCTCTTCATTGCCGCCAATCTCCATTCAAATTTCACCTCTTTTTATTTTCTTCTTCCTGTAGATTCTTGAGTGCTTGTCAGGTATCGTTGAGCCTCAGTCAGTAAGGAGGTCTGTGGGGTTATATTTTTTCGGTTGAAGAGAAAGATGAGACTGACGATGGACAGCGGTGTTTTTTCTACGAGATTACCGTGTTTCCTGCTCCCGTCAGCTGAAACGCGCTTCAAAATATAACGTTTATTTTCAGAAAAAAATAGTAAGATATGCCATTTATTATAACTGGTTTTCTTCTCTCGACCTAACAACACAATTTAAAAACTGCTGTATAGTTTGAAGTCTCTACTTTTGACACAGTTTATAATAGAGTTTCACAATGAGTTTACCCCATAAATAAAATGGAGGTTGAAATCACATGATTGAATGACATCACGCCGACTTCAAGAATACTTGTTGGACCTTTTCAACCCCACCAGCACATATKCCATAGAGGAAGCTAAGTCGGGGACTTGGGGATTGGTTCGTCCATAACCAGGGCTGAGGTAGTTAAAAAGCTGCAGGGCTCTGAGGGTGGATGAGAGTCATCATGAGTTTCTTAAAGCTGTCAATGTTGTGAGGCTGTCTTGCTTGACACGACTTTCCATCATCAAGCAGACATCTGGTAGACTGGGGTAGAGCATCACTCTCCTTAGCCTACTAAGCCTAGACCATGATGTTCATAGTTTGGACAGAGAAGACCGGTTGTTTGAAAAAGTGGTGAAGGGAGACATTTACGTCAGACGAGGTAAAAAAATCTTTAAACAGAGGATGAAGTCTCGGGTTTCATCTTTCAAAAAAATTACAACACAGCATTGGATGTTATTCTTACTCAGTTTCACCTCAATTCACACCTTTATGCATGTGATGGAGACATTTCTCCTGTGAGCCAGGCAAACAAAGAGCCTAACAACTCTCCATTGTGAAGGGTGAGTATAGTTCCACATTAATCTACATGTTAATGTAGATTAACATGTTAATGCTAAGTACTAACAAGGCCTCTCATGAAGGTACAAAGACAGACATTTTGAATTGAAAAAGCTTACTGGATGGGAAGCGAAATGTCTATTCTTCAGCTTCAGAAAAGACATCCATTGTCTTGTTTTTTAACCTTTTATTATGACCCCAGCACGCAGGAGTCATATTGTTTTCGTACTGTTTATTTATTTATTTAATTATTTAATTATTTATTTATTTATTGTTCAGAGATTTTTGGTCAACCATAGACCAAAAACGGCTGCACCGATCAACATGAAATTTGGCAGGACTGTAGAAGAGTCTGACCTGCACTGCACCAGCCAACGGTTTTACTATAGACCGCATATTTGAGGAGGGGGCTCCTTTCAAAGAGGGGGAGTCAGGACATGCAAAAACGCTTATAACTCAGAAACTATTCAACATACGATGTAAAAGATGGCAGGTTGGCGTTCCTGTACTGTGATGTCTCAGTGTCGGATTGAGGACGGTTGGAAACTGACGTGTATCGCAAACCCACCCATACAGACCAGTATTTGCGTTTTGATTCCCAYCACCCACTGGAACACAAGTTAGGAGTCATCAGGACTCTGTACCACAGAGCAGACAGTGTCCCCACAAACCCAGGAGCCAGGGAGAAAGAGAAATCACACACAAGACAGGCCCTGGAGCAGTGTGGTTATCCTGACTGGGCTTTTCTGAAAGCAGACAAGAAACCCAAACAGGATTCCAGCCAACAACCAGGTGAAAATGAAGACCCTAAACCCAGACCCAAACCAGTCGTCATTCCACATGTGGATGGAGTTTCAGAGAAACTGAGACGTTTATTCTCTAAACATGACGTCCCAGTGGCTTTCAAACCCCAAAACACTTTACGACAAAAATTAGTTCACCCCAAAGATCCAGTTCCCCGGCAAAAATAGAGTAATATAGTGTATGCTGTTAAGTGTCAGGAGGACTGTGATCAGTCATACATTAGGGAAACAAACAGCCACTGTTCAAAAGAATGAGCCAGCACAGATGAGCTACATCATCAGGTCAGGACTCTGCAGTTTACACTCATCTACAGGTCAGGGCTCTGCAGTTTACACTCATCTACAGGTCAGG